CTTAAGAAAAGGAACCAACCATGCAATGGTGGCTTGCAAACTAGTCTTGCAAAACCAGAATGTGTGAGTTCAAATCCCTGACTAGGTGAATGTTTTAATTTTCGTTCTTTCACTTCTTAAAAGGATGCAGAAAAAAAAAATATATTGTCTATCATACATTTTTATAAATCTCGTCTACAGTCACTCTCTCACAGACAGGCCGTCGCCTCTCTCTGTCTTTTCTACAAATACTTTCATGGTAGTTGCTCCGATGAGCTGCTTTCACTGGTTCCCAGACTCCATGAATTCAAGAACCCTACAAGGCTGGCATCCCGCTCACATCCTTACACTATAGAAACTTTCAAATGTAGCCATCTCTTCTACTCCAATAGCTTCATACCTCACACATCTCGCCTGTGGAACACCCTTCCCAATTACTGTTTCCCTGAGAGCTATAATCTCCAACTATTCAAATGTAATGTCAATCGACATCTCCAGTTACCTTGATCTACCCACTATCCTTTTCCTCATCCTTTCTTCTATCACTCCTATCTGCTCTTGCTCCAAATCTTCTGCAACCCCCTGCATCCTAGTGACTTCACACCTTGCTTGGGGTGTAATGCTTAAAAAAGAAAAAAAGAAAAAAAGTCCACTATTCTTCGATGCATTAAATATTGTTGCCATATCTGGTATAGTGTTTCTGCTATATATCTAGATATTCTTGACAAAATCCAAAGAAGAATATGTGATGTTATTGGTCTATCCATTCTCTTACATGGCAGTGAATGTTGGACAATTTCCTTAAGGATGAGGAAAAAACTAGAAGTAACACAAATGTGGGTCTACAGAAGGATATTGAGAATTCTATGGATAGCACAAGTAAGCAACAAGAAGTCTTAAAAAATGGCAACAGAAAGAACACTTTGCGTTAGAATCAGAAATAAATAGCTGAAATTCTTTAGACACATAATGAGGAAAGAAGACTTGGTAAACTTAACACTCATGGCTCATATTGAAGGCAAGTAAGATGGGGAAGGTAACAAGCTTATGTGACTTGATGTCAGAAAAAGGGGAGTGAGGGCTTTAGAAAAGGGAAAGAAACTGCCAAGAGCCACACAAGATGGGAAGTTGTGAAGAGCCACTATTGCTTATCTTCTGAAGGCATATGGCATATAGAAGAAGAAAATCATGTCAATTGTCAAGGCTACTCCTAAGAATGTTACTTCTGTGTGTCATGGTAGAGAATTTTTCCTATTTGATTCTATTTGCAATGTTATAAATCTGCCATTCAACCATGCATTGAATATTGCTGCCACATCTGTTATGGTGCTTTTGCTATATATCTAGATATTCTTGACAAAATCCAAAGTTTTAAAAAACCTACATTTTTAAAATATATATATATATATATATATATATATATATAGAGAGAGAGAGAGAGAGAGAGAGAGATATTGAAAAATACAAAAAAAATGGAGGAAGAGCAAGGATAAGAAAAAAGCCTTGCTCTTCTTTATTTTCTGCATATTAATATTTAATTTTAAAATGTCCACTTTTATGCTTTAAATAAAATTTTTACTACCACCAGATTATATATATATATATATATATATATATATATATATATATATATATATAAGATAATCCTAAGGAGCCAGGCAAACCTACCTAGGTTTCACCTAAACGGATCGTCAGGGCGATTCTGGCTGAAAAGGAAAATTATGGAACAGAATTTAAATTCTGTTCCATAATTTTGGAAAATTTTCCTTTTCAGCCAGCATCGCCCTGATGATCCATTTACGTGAAACCTAGGTAGGTTTGCTTGGCTCCTTAGGATTATCTTATATTTTGGTCTACTTAGTGTATTGAGCACTTCACATAGTTATCTTTTTACTCATTTTGGAGGTTTTCTTTGAAGTCGGATTTAATGTTTGGTTTAATGTTCTTGGTTCTTTCTTTTTTTATTCCTCATTTTTCCTTGGGTACTGATTTGTTCTACGGCAAGTTGAGCTATCCAAGGTTTTTCCAAGTGATTACCACCATTTTATATATATATATATATATATATATATATATGTGTGTGTGTGTGTGTGTGTATAAAACACACTTTAACACACACATATATGCACACAATGTTATTTATCCTGCCCTGGTATCTCAGCTTCACTCACTTTCCCATCACCAAAATGTAGCTTCCCTGTGTCTTTTCTATAAATACTTTCATGGTAATTGGTGGTCAGTGATGTCAGTTCTCTGGTGGATGCAAGATGCCTTTTGTTTCAGGTGTGATTATCGTATTTGCTGTTGTATTTGAATGAGTGTATGTTTGAGTGAATGCTTGCGATGAATGAATGTTTTATATTATTAAAGTCCCCCATCGATTTTGTCCAGTTAACTGATGTTTCTGCCACATTTAATGAATGTAGGGGGTTTTATTACTAATATTTTGTTAAGTTTCTTATAAATAGTTTTGTTCATTTTTGCAAATATTCATTGGGGGTTTACATTTTTAAATTGTTATTTTATTCCCCTCCCCTCCACGGACAATGAATTGTACATATGGTGACTAGTTTGGACTTCATGAAGTTTCTGAGGCATTATTGTGGATAAAGTAAGAATGGTAAGTAAGAATGTGTTTTTTGGTGTATGGAATATTGTGGTATATTTGGGTCAGTGCTTGTGGCTGGCTAAGTTTAATGTTTAGACAGAAGAAGACTGTCCTTTTCTCCACTCTCCATTTTGGCTTTATGCTACATTTTGTATCATTGTATAAATAAATATTGCTTTCCTCTTAGTAAATATATCTTAAAATATATTGTAAAAACTCACTGGTGTAAGATTTTTTTAAATTATTATTTTATTCCCCTCCCGACACAGACAAAAATTGTAGGACTTGTTAAGACTTTATAGAGACTTTGAGGTATTATGATGGATGTAGTAAGAATGTTAAGTAAAAATGTGTTGTTTTGGTAGAAGGAATTCTGTAGTATGTTTGGGTCAGTAATTGTGGCTAGCTTTGATTTAAGAGAAGACAGATTAACAACTGTCCTTCCTCTATCTCCCTATCTTGTGCAACATTTTTGTATATTTACAAAATAAATATTCCTTTCCTTTTTGGTATGTCAACTTTATGTATTTAAGTTCAGATTGGCAGATAGGTCTCCCCATTTTACAGTTGCAATTGTTTGATATAACCATAACTCTCTTACCTTTCTTGCTTGTGGAACTCTCTTCTGCCTTTTTGCTTTCCAGTTATCTTTGATCTTTAAAAGATTTAAAGGCAGGATCAGTCATCATCTCTTTCTTCTGGAATTTTCTTCTTTTATTGTCCTTTCTCCTTAATAATGTTAGTTTTCTCAGACTCTTTTACTCTCAGTAACACCTTCATCACCTTGCTTGAGATGAAATGATTAAAAAGAAATAACAAGGCCTCTCTTTGAATTTTCGGGATGAGCATTATTTACATTCAGACTAATATCCTCATTATCTGTCTATATTTCTGAGATTATATATTATGTACACTATTTAGACTATTGTCCTCATCTTTGTTGCCATATTTATTAAAACGTTTTGACCATTGTATGCTCCGGCCTTCTTCAGGTGGTTGGAATGTCAAACTGAACGAAATAAGCAGTTCAGAAGGCCGGAGTGTACAACAACTGAAACATTGTAATAAATATGGGGACAAAAATGAGAACAATAGTCCAAATAATGTAAATAGTGTACATAATACCTCATCTTAGAAATATAGACAGATACTGAAGGGCCGAAACATTGTAATAAATATGGCAACAAAGATGAGGATAATAGTTTGAATAATGTAAATAGTGTACATAATACCTCATCTCAGAAATATAGACAGATACTGAAGGGCCAAAACGTTGTAATAAATATGGCGACAAAGATGAGGACAATAGTCCGAATAATGTAAATAGTGTAATATCCTCATTGTTGTTGTTATTATCCCAATATTTCTGCCTTTGTCTACTTCAGCCTTCTAGTGTCAATTAATATGGCTAACCTTTAGCGAATTTTGAACAGTATGCTTTATTTAATCTATAGTCGTACATTGTTCTCATTTTGCTGTATACACTACAGTTCAAAGTTTGAAGCCACCTCCAGAAATAGCATAGGATGAACTTAACAGAAAAATGAAAAAAATTGAAAAACAGATCATAGGGTCATTGAAAAAAGAATGGAATCAATTATCAAACTTATACTTTGAGAAACTTTTGCAACAAATGCCAAAAATTTGTGCTGCCATAATCAAGGCTAAAGGAGGATATTTTGGTGTGAGCAAAATTTAGTAACCCTTATTTCAATTTCAAACATTTTCTTGAATTTCATTGGTTGTTAAATGCAAAGTAAGCTTCAAGAAATTTCCATCACAAATCAGTCAAATTTTGTGCAAAAGTAGGCTCAACTGGCTTTAAAAAATCTTTCTCGAATTCACCCCTAATTTAAATGTTTCAAGAAATCCTATTGGATAAAAAATAAAAAAAATACAATCTTGTCCACACATTTCTTGGAATTATTGGCAATGTCTGCCAAGATTCTATTGAGCCAATTTAGTTGTTAAAAAAACTATAAATACAAATGACAAACAAGATTTTGGCACATTGAGATTCTCACACACCAGGGATATGCACAGAGATTTACTCACATGCAGAGAGATATTTACGCATACATGGGAGATACAAACTTAGAGAGACACTAAGAAAGAATTAAATTTTTATACTCCATTTTGGAACAAACTTCCCTTATGAAAGATTAGGAAAATTTCAATGCAAAACCTTTTCCATTCAATATCTTTCTTAGAAAGACTTTTGTCCAATTTCAATTTAACCTTTATAGTAAAAGGCAGACAACTTTTACTTACTTTCGGCATTGAACATTTCCGAAACAGTAAAGAACTTTTTCTCTTAAATATTACTCTCACACACATCATTACAAAACAAAAATTGTGTATATAAAAATTAACTTGTTGTTCCAAACGTGTCCTTTTTGTCGTAATTGAATAT